AGAAGAGTTTGATTATGAAAGTTTATATTGGAAGCTTCAGAGTTAAGTAGACCATCTCACTGCAGAAATTGATACGCAACAGAAGTTGAGGGAGAGAGACAAATATGATTTGGATAAGCAACTGAGGGAATGTCAAGATTTTTTTTATGACACCATTGTGCCAGGATTCTATTGCATCCACATGCATATATTTACAAGCATACATAGGTACTCTTTTTTTGGTGTGATGCAGAAGCCCCAGAGACTTACACTACCGTTATTCCCATTCTAAGGCCAACTGGATTATAGTTAATACTACTTTTTTTTTCTTAATTATAGTTAATACTGGTTCCAGAATTCGTTTTCCAGGTTTTTTCTAACATTTTTCTTCTAAAATCACATTGTTATCCTGTTCTGTTCGAATCTGGCTTGCTTGTTATAACATATTTCTACACTCAAGCACAGATCACTCAAACAGAAGCTTCGACGCAGCACTAACCCATACCGTGCCAATCCTTTACTCAACAGCTCCTATCACAAGAGACCACTCACACTCAACAAGCGGAAGGTCCTTCATACTTAATACAGCCTGAGATTCAAAGCAAGTACAAAACAAAGACAAAAGCAAAAACAAACATCTCAACAATAAATCATCAGCATAACCAGTGCCCAGTTTTCTTCACACAACAAGTCATACAACGAAAAAAAATGCACCTTGCTTAACATTAAATCCAAGAGCAAAAGCAAAAACAGAACCCAAAACTTCTTGATTCATTTCAGTGCGTAAATTACAGCTAAACAATTCTTTTTCTTCTATTACATTTTAATCAAGAAATTAAAATATATCAAAACAATAATCCTCAAACCAGTCACCAGTCTCTCCAAAATCGATTGCAATATCCTTGGCGAAATCCAAACCATTGGATAGCCAACTATTATCTGTGTGATCTTCGGATTTTGACTCAGGCATATTCAGTGTCGCATTTTCACCACACATCATCTTGACAGCTTTGTCGCAAGCTAAAGCAGCTTCCCGTGTGATCTTCGGATTTTGACTGAGGCATATTCAGTATGGCATTTTCACCATACATTGTCGTGGCAGCTTCGTCATAAGCTAAAGCAGCTTCACAAGCGGTAGGAAAAGTCCCAAGCCAAAGTCTCTTCCCTCCGTTGGGTGCTCGGATTTCAGCCACCCATTTACCACAAGTCCTTTGTCTAACGCCTCGGTAGTTACAGCTTTGATTCTGAGGCCCTCCTTTACCTTTCATACAGCCCTTTGTCGCACCCTTAGCAGGAGTTTTACTCAATTGTTTGGCCTCCTCATTTTGACTCCAGAGCTTGAGAGTGTCATTCGAAGACAGTGTTGAACGCACCTCAGGGTTTTGATCCATCTTGCAACCGTGGTCCAATGCAGTAAATAAAGGCTCCAGCATTTGAAACCCTCTTGAAATAATAATTGATCGTTAAAAATTGAGAAATTTAGACGGCTTTAGACCCCAACAATCTGCAGTTCGTTTCAAGAAACCAAATTGTTACTATGAACGTAAATACTACTGATTAACAAAAATAAATAGAAAATGCCACAGTATTTCTTTTTATTTTCTTGGTAAACAAGTAAGAAAAGAAAAATTATAGTCGAAACTTTCTTAAAGTTTAAAACCTTAACCCTAAACGAAAACCTAATTGAAAAATAAAATCAACCCTTAAAGAATCAAGAGAAAAAAGTAACTAAAACCATACCTGTTAAAAGAGTGAAAAGAATAAACAAACTTCCTGCTGCAATTGACAGAAAACCAAG